AGAGTACATGTGGTGTCTGTTTTTCCATTCCTGAGATATTTCACTTAGGATAATGGTCTCCAATTCCATCCAAGTTGCTGCAAAAGATATTTTATTCCCTTTTATGGCTGAGTAGTACTCCATAATGTATATATACACACCACATTTTCTTAATCCACTCATGAATTGATGGGCACTTAGGCTGATTACATATCTTTGCAATTGTGAACTATGCTGCAATAAACATTCAAGTGCAGCAGCTGTCCTTTTGATAAAATGACTTCTTTCCTTTGGGTAGATATCCAGTAGAGGGACTGCTGGTAGGTCTACACTTATTTCTTTGAGGAATCTCCATACTGTTTTCCACAGAGGTTGTACTAATCTGCAGTCCCACCAACAGCACATAAGCGTTCCTTTCTCTATGCATCCACACCAGCATCTACTGTATTCGACTTTTTAACAATGGCCATTCTGACAGGGGTGATAATCTCATTCTGGTTTTACTTTGCATTTCCCTGATGATCAGCGGATATTGAGCACTTCTTCATGTGTTTGTTGACCATTTGTCTATCTTCTTTTAAAAAACTTCTATTCATATCTTTTGCCCACTTTTTAATGGGTGTGTTTTTTTCTTGCTAATTTGAGTTCTTTGTAGATTCTAAATACTAGCCCTTTATCAGATATATCATTTGAGAATATTTTCTCCCATTCTGTAGGGTGTCTATTAACTCTACTTATTATTTCCTTATATGTGCAGAAGCATTTTAATTTAATCAAGTCTTGTTTGTTTATTTATTTTTGTTGTTGTTTTATTTGCCTTTGGGGTCTTAGCCATAAATTCTTTGCCTAAGCCGAAGTCTAAGAGAGTATTTCCTTCATTGTCTTCTAGAATTTTTATGTTTCATGCCTTACATTTAAGTCTCTTACATAAAATACTCACCATGGTCAAGTGGGATTCATCCTTTGGATGCAAAGATGGTTCAACATATGCAAATCAATAAATGCAATACACCACATAAATAAAAGCAAAATCCAAAACCATATGATCATCTCAAAAGATGCAGAAAAAGCATTTGATAAAATACATCAACCTTTCATGATAAAAACCCTCAACAACCTAGGCATGGAAGAAACATACCTCAAAATTATAAAAGCCATATATAATAAACCCATAACCAACATCAAGAGTGGAAAGCATTCCCCCTAAGAAGTGAACAACCCAAGGGTGCCTACAATCATCACTTCTATTCACAACAGTATTGGAAGTCCTAACCAGAGCAATCAGGCAAGAGAAAGAAATAAAGGATATCCAAATCTGTAAAGAGCAAGCCAAACTATTGCTTTTCGCTGACAATATGATCTTGTATCTAGAAAATTCCAAAGACTCCACTGAAAGACTCCTAGAATTGATAAATTCAGCAAAGTCTTAGGTTACAAAATTAATATACACAAATCAGTAGCATTTCCATATGCTAATATCAAGCCAAGAGTCAAATCAAAGACTCAATACTATTCACAATAGCTACAAAGAAAATAAAATACTTTGAGATTTCCTTAACCAAGGAAGTGAAAGATCTCTACAAGGAGAATTATGGAACACTGAAGAAAGAAATCACAGATGACTCAAACAAATGGAAAAACATCTTGTGGACTGGAAGAATGATCATTGTTAAAATGTCTACACTGCCCAAAGTGATGTACAGATTCAACCCATCCCCCACCAAAATACCAACATCATATTTCACAGATGTAAAAAAAATAATTCTACGCTTCATTTGGAACCAAAAAAGAGTCTGAATAACCAAAGCAATCTTAAGCAAAAAGAACAAATCTGGAAGCATCACATTATCTGACTTCAAATTGTACTAAAAGGTTACAGTAACCAAAACAGCATGGTACTGGTATAAAAGTAGAGACATAGACCAAAGGAACAGAATAGAGAACCCAGATATAAAACCATCTACCTAAAACCAACTGATATTCGACAAAGCAGACAACAACATACATCGGGGAAGCGAAGCACTATTCAATAAATGGTGCTGGGAAAACTGGATAGCCACACGCAGGAGAATGAAATGGGACTCCCCTATCTCTCGGCATATACAAAAATTAATTCAGCTCACCCATTCTGAAACTACAATTTCTCCAATGTTTTCAACTCAAAATAATCACTATACCTATCTGGCATATTTTGGGATGGTGTGTCCTTCACTCCTTCACTGGGTTTTATACTAAGTACTAGAACAAATTTTATTTCTCATCAGTTGCAATTAGTAACTCCTAACAGATCAACACCATTATGATGTGAGCTCCTAGAAGGTTGGGCTTGTGGTATATTTATCTACATAGCGGTCTGCTTTTTAGTTATTGCTCTATAGATCTGGTTTGTTGAATGAACAAACTCAATATATATGGCAATCTCCCGAAATGAGTGTTATCACTAAAATCATCTGAATCTTTCACATAGCTGAAGCATCAGCATGAATGATCAGACAAAGATTAAAACTTATTTCTAATGTTGAATGTACCCCAAACTCAATCTATTTATAGCCAAGTAGGCAAGTATTTTATGAAATATTCTGTATTTTTAATTCTCCTTGGGTACAACTCAAACAATTATGAATAGGACTTAAGAAATTTGCTGTTGCCTTAATAGATAAATGTACATTTGGCAGATTAATAACTTACTATTAAAATAGGTTAAACATATCTTATAAACTTCCAATTCCAATAATACAGTGCACCAGATAGTATAAAATCCTCCAACTATAAACACCTAGAAATGCTAAATACAATATAACATACACATGAAATGCATAGCTGAACTAGAACAAAAATAGTCAAGGGCTACAAAGGAAGAAAAAAGTGACAATCAATCAAGCGCACTGGTGTTGCAGGGGAGGAAAGTATATGCATTCTCGAGAATTGGTTCTTTACCACCCACACAGGGAAAGGACACAAAGAAGCTATAACTAGAACCCACAGAAGAGTCACACAATCGATGAAAGGATAAACTAGGGGAAAAAAGTGTTTCTAATCAAGTGACAAGGAAGTATATTCATCTTGATCTGGCTCTAGAGTAGGGCAAGAAAAAGGGTTTCTGATTAATTTGTCACCCAAGGGCCAACTCCAATATCCTTCACTTCTGACATGAATTTGAATTTATACTACCCTAGTGGACCAGAAATCCCAAGTTTATATTTAACACAAAAATCAACTTAAGGCTTGGAATATTCTTAGAGCACGTGGCAAAAGTAATCAAAATTCACTCCAGAAGGTCATGCCTTCCATCCAGGATTTCTTCAAATAAAACCACGTTAAGAGTAGTAAGCAACAGTCCAAACTCATAACACACACCAAGATTAAATGAACAGATACATGACATAACCAGACAATTTGATAATTTCTAGTTAATAAGAAGTACCATAAGAAAGTATCAAAACAGTATTAAAATACCATAGCAGAATACAGTTAACTCTCTTCTCTCCAACTAGGGATAACAGCACCTCTCTTATCCCCCAACACACTGTGTTATTAATATAATTTTGAGTGCTACCATTTTCTTTCCCCTATTCAATGAAAAGTATTCTGACAAAAGAAACTATCTAAAAACCCTGTATCAGCCAGCAGTGTTTAACACATTGCCATACTAGAAAAAAAATTTTTTCCCTTGGGGCCACGGTGTTTTATTATAAAAACAGAATAAAAACTT